AAAAAAAAAGGTGATGATGTAGCCAGTCTGGGCTACATAGTGAGCCTCTATATCAAAAACCCAAGGGTTGGATGTGGCATGTGTGTGATCACCACCAAAAAAGTCAAGATGAGAGGCTTAGATACTGATTCCTTTTTCCTCTTACACCCACACCACATCCTAGGATGACTGACATGAGGCTGGATCTCTGAATGCAGCAGGGTACCCCAGGGTGACCCACCCCTGTCATTGCAGAGCTGCTCCCAACTGCCCTTGTCAGCTCAGTCTCAGCAGGGGCAGGGAAAGGGAGATTGGGATAAGCCTGTGGCCCTGAGTTGAAGGCCCTGCCTCACTATTTCATGTGAAACTTGGGAGCTGTTTTTATCTCCATCTCTCTGAGGAAGTAGAGAGCTAATTGTACAGAATAAAATGAACTATGGGTGATAGCACCTCCAGGTTACCATAAAACAAAACAAACCATATTTCATCATGAAGGCTTTACATTGTTGCATATATCATATAAAGGAGTTCTTAGTGCTCCTTGTGTGACAGGACAAGGGGGAGGAAGCCGACAACAGAGCACCCAGGTGGGTTCACATATGTCTTTAAAGCCTTCATTCTACTGTGTATAAATTGTGGCTGTTGATACCCAGAGAGTGTAAGTGAAATGCTCCAGAAATGATGGTTGATGCTTTTCTACTTCAGGAAGGGTCTGCCCTAACATAAGCCTGAATCCTAGGGATTAGAAGACACTATCATGGCCGTAATCCCAGCTCTTAGTTGAAAGAATCAGCCAGGAATCTGGCCTTCAACCCACAGGAAGCCACACTGATAGGACCAGATGAGTGCTACCCCAAGTACCCTAAAGACAGTAAGACTTTAGATACAAGGTCAGAACTTAAATCTTGGTTGTAGATTTACTCTGATTTGCTATGGGACCATATGTAAAATTACTTAAGGCCTTTAAAAGAAATATGACATTTCTCTATTTACTAAATAACCACTATATACATACGTAACGGGCACTTTACACTCACCTGTAATTCTAATGCCATTGCATCTCAAGCAAGCCCATCTCTCCACAAGATCTTTTTTTTTTTTAACATTTTATTTATTATTTTATGTGTATGAGTGTATTGCCTGCATGTATGTGAGTGCACCCGTGTCATGCAGTGCTGCGGAGGTCAGAAGAGAGCTTCAGATTCCCCTGGAACTGAAGTTAAGGATGGTTTGTAGCCGCCATGTGGGTGCTGGGAATCGAACCCATGTCCTCTGCAAGAGCAGTTAGTGTTCTTAACCGCTGAGCCATCGCTCCAGCCCCTTCACAGGATCTGTTTATAAAGAATCACAAGCTACCATTTGATTGATTGATTTGCAGTTTGGGGGAGAGGTAGGAATCTGCATTCTAGGAAGCTTCTCCTGTGATCTTTGTAAAAGGGTGGTTTGATCCTTATTACATTTTTGGTGTTTGTTTGTTTATTTATTTATTTATTTTCGTCTTTTTGAGACAGGGTCTTCCTGTAGCCCCAGCTGTCCTGGAACTCACTATGTAGACCAGGATGGCCTTGAACTCACAGAGATCCGCCACCTCCCGAGTGCTGGGATTAAAGGCGTGCACCACCACACCCGGCATCATTTTTGGTGTTTATTTAGAGACTGGATCTCACATATCCCAGGCTAGCCCACAACTTATTAAATAATTTGGGATGAACTTGAATTTTTCATCCTCCAGACCTCTTCAAATGCTGAGATTACAGAGTGGACCATCACACCCAGTTTATTTATTCAGTACTAGGGTTGAATTCAGGGTTTTGTGCCTGCTAAGTATTCTACCAGCTGAGCAAATTCCCCAGCCAATATTCCAGAATAATTTTCCCACTATGCAGTAGATACAAGAGTTCAGCCCATTCCAGGCATGGTGGCACGCACCTTTAGTCCCCACACTCAGGAGGCCAGGCAGGCTGATCTCTCTGAGTTCAAGGCCATCCTGGTCTACATAGCAAGTTCCAGGTTTGTCAAAACAAATATGGTTGGCGAGCTGGCTCAGTAGATAAAAAGCCTGATGCCAAATCTGACAAGAGCTGACTCCTGACTCCTGCATGTTGTACTCTGACTTCATACAACCATACATACATGCATGCAAAGACAAGAAATAAATGTGATAAAAGCAAATATATAGGCTGGTCAGAGTAGACCCCAAATAGATCAAGAGATTTGGGAGCTAAGGTGTGAAGAGAGTGGGGAAGTTGGCCTTAAGGATAACCCAGAGAGTTCCTCTCGCAGAGAACAGGCCAGTCACAAAAGGTGCCTCGTGTGTGTCTGGAGCCAGGTCAGTAAAGTGGAGAGGAGGAAGAGGCTCATGGTTTCTTCTGGTAGATTCCTGAGACCCTCTGGACCAAACTACTTCACTCTTTAGCAACGTGCTTCCTCTCAATAAAGAATATTCTGGCCGGCAAGATGGCTCACTGGGTAAAGGCACTTGCCACCAAGCTGATGACCTGGTGGAAGGAGAGAACCAAATCCCATGACTTGTCCTTTTAACGCCACACACCCACACAGAAATAAAAGTAATAGAGTATACTGAAGAATATCTTGGGGCTGGAGAGATGGCTCAGCGGTTAAAACACTGGTAGTTCTCGCAGAAGACCCGGGTTCAAATCCCAGCACCCACATGGCAGCTAACAACTGTCCATAACTCCACTCCCAGGGGATCCGATGGCTTCTTCTGACCTCCACGGGCATTGCACAGCATGGGTGCACTTACCTACATGCAGGCAATGAACGCATACACATTAAAAAATAAATAAATAAAACAAAAAAAATATCTTATATGGATATAAAGTTCTTCCACAGCCCAACCTTTAAGTTATTTCATGCAGCTAGAGAGATGGTGACTTAGCAGTTAAGAGAGCTTATTCCCTGTCAGTGGACATTCAGGTTGATTCTGAGTTTTTAATAGCCCATCACTACTTTAAACAAGTTTTTTATTTATAATTCATAATGCCATTTTATATACATATATAATATATTCTGTTCATATTCGCCCCCAGTACCCTTTTTTTTTTTTCAATGTAAACCCATGAGTTTAATTAGGATTACTAACCAGAACATCGATGAAGAGTTATTTACAGGATCAGGAGCAACTTACTAGTAGTTACACCATTGAAGAAAATGTCTCCCTCCCCCCAGCAGATATTGACTGCCTGTGGATCCTCAGGGAGGAGTCAGGCTGGTGGCAACACACATTTAATCAAAGCACTTTGGAGGCAGAGGTAGACAGCTCTCTGTGAGTTCAAGGCCAGCCAGAGCTATATAATGAGACCCTGTCTCAAAAAAAAATCTTGTGGAGAGGAGGTGCACATGGAGGGCATGCATGTGGAGGTCAGGACAACTTGTGGGAGTCAGTCTCTCCTATCATGTAGGACCAGGAATCAAACCCAGGCTTAGCATGAGTGCCTTTACCTGCTGAGCCATCTCACTGGCCCTAATTTTATTTCTGAGACCAGGTCTCTTGTACCCTAGGTTGGTGTAGAACTTTGAACTTCTGATCCTCTGCCTCTATCTCCCAAGTGCTAGAGAAAGTACACCATATGCCACCACACCTGGTTTGATGCATTGCTGAGGACAGAACCCAAGGCTTGTACATACTAGGCAAATAGAGCTACCCAGCCCTCAGTTAAGTATGTGTATGTTGCTGGGGATCTAACCTAGGCCTTGGCATGCTAAGCAAGTGCCTCACCGCTGAGCTATAGTATCTCCAACAAAGCTAAATTTTTTACAGCATCTAAGATTTTTCATTAGATTCCTACAAGTAAGATCACTGAGCCAAGCCAGGTGTGGTGGCACATGCCTTTAATCCCAGCACTTGGGAGGCAGAGGCAGTTGGGTGTCTGTGAGTTCGAGGCCAGCCTAGTCTACATAGCGAGTTCCAGGTCTGCTGGGGCTACAGGGAGACCTTTTGAGGTCTCAAAGAGACCAAAAAAAAAATCACTGAGCCCAAGTGAAAGTAGATTGTAAAGACTTGTGTATTGTCACCCTCTAAAGATTGCTGACATACACCACATACACAGCTAATCTTTAGGTACTCCCTCTCCATCCCCCCTGGTTTTCACATGTGGCTTGCTCGTGATTGCAGGCTCAAGCACGGACATCAGTGAGGACTGGGAAAAGGACTTTGACTTGGACATGACTGAAGAAGAAGTGCAGATGGCACTTTCCAGAGTGGATGCCTCTGGTGAGGTAAGTGGGTCTGGTCAGCCACAGTGATGTCACAATGGGAGACCCTTCCCCACCAAACCTTACTGCCCCCATTCAGAGGAGGTCCCTACACTGAGCTAACTCCTGCAGGAAGGGAGATTAGGCTTTGCACCCATGACATTCGTCACCATCGGGCTCTGCTTCTCATCAGCTCTTGACCTTAGCTCTGTATCACAAACACCCAAGGAACTGAAAAATAGAAATGCACGATACCTGTAATACCAGTACTGGGGAAGAGGAGGCAGGGAGCTCACAGCCTAGTGTACATTGTGAATTCAGTCTAACCTGGGCCTGGATCAAAATATATAGAGCTATATAGATGCCAAACCCTGCCCCAGGCTTTGTTATAGGAGCTTAGCAGGTTCCTGGCCTTGGAGACAAAAAGCCAGTATGAGGTTGACAGTAGCACCTGGCTTAGAAGCTGTAATGAGGTAAAGCTTGCAGACACTACAGGTGTGACACCTGGCATATAGTGGCTTTAAGTAGACATAGGTGACCAACAACCACAAAACCCATTCCAGTACTTAAGCTCAGCTGGACCTTTTATCCTTGGTCTTTGCTACCTCTCAGAAGTAGCTTTCTCCATCTCCTTGCTTTCTCCATCTCCAGGACCTCATTCATGCTAAGCTGCATCTCAGCCCCAAGACTGGATTACTTTTAATGAGAGGCTGTTCAAAGCTCTCAGTCCACAGCTAATAAGTGACAAGACTGAGGCTTCAGTTCAGATAGGATTGAAGTTATTTTTTCTTCTTCTGCCCCCTAAGGAGCACACAATTGCTTCCATATGTAATTGTGAATCTGCTATAAAGGTGGGCAGATTAGAGAATTGGAAAGACGGTAAAGGGTCTAAGTCCTCTCTTGCGCTCTCGCCTCTCTCTACCCTCCTGCGTGCTGGAATTACAGGCATGAACCACTATGCCCAGTGACAAGGATCTAGTTTTTCATATTGATAAGCTGGGGAATTAGTGACCTACTCAAGTATTTTGCACCTGTAACCTCGCTATACCCATAGAAGGTCCATGGTGCCTGACTATGCCACAGGGATTCATCTTTGCAATTCTTTAAAATCTCACATGCTAGCTGGGCGTGGTGGCGCACACCTTTAGTCCCAGCACTCCAGAGGCAGAGGCAGGCAGATCTCTGTGAGTTCAAGGCCAGCCTGGTCTACATAGTGAATTCCAGGACAGCTGGGGCTACAGGGAGACCCTGTCTCAAAAAGACAATAAATAAATAAAACCTCACATGCTTGACTGGGGATGTTGCTCTATAGTAGAGCACTTGCCTAGCATTCATGAGGCCCCAGGTTTGATCTCCAGCACCTTAAGAAGAAGCAAATATACAACGAAACCTGACATGCAGTATACCTGAGCAGGCCTTCTATAACCCACCACACCAGGAATCAGCTGAAAACAGGCCAGGCATAACAAGGCAAGACAAGTCTCAGGTGGAAGTTAGGGTGTTGAGCCCCTGGTGAAGACCTTGTGAGCACTTGGAGCACCCATGAGCCCTGCCAGTCTTCTGTTAGACTGGTAGTCACAGTGCCACTCTCAAATTCTTTGCCTTTAAGAGGCATGGCCTTAGTCTGCTTAGTAGGAAATATGCTCTCCTTTACGGATTGGCTCCTCAGACTGAGCATCCCCCTGCAGAGCTGAGCCTTGGTTGATAGAAGTATTTCCTTTATCTATAAAGCAATCAAAGCATCAGCCCCTCCCCCAGGCAAAGTACAGCTCTGCTCCCAGAGGTATTCCTGCATGGGAGTTTCTGTCCCTGCAGGAATAGGGTATGGTCCATGGTGGGGCTACTATGCAGAGGTAGCCTTGCTTAGTAAGGGAAAGAAGGCTCTGGACGTGACTCAGGAATAAGTGCGTTGTGCTTTCCCATTATCTCCCCACCTTTGCAGCTGGAAGATGTAGAGTGGGAGGATTGGGAATGAGGGGAGCCAGAACAAGCAGCTCCCCACCCACGGCGCAGGCTACCTCCCTTGCTCGACTCAGCCCAGCCCTGGAAGACACTGACTGAGAATGTCCCCCCACTGGCCTTTCATCCAGAACTCGGTACAGATTCTGGTGACTCCCTGCTGGCCCTCTGGGTCCCTGCTCACACCTTGGAAGAGCCTTTCTAAATACATACCCAGAATTCTGACTTGTGCCAACCTTAGGATGATCTAAGGGGAACGACCCCTACCCCATCACCGGAGAGCCTGCGTTTCTCTGCTGAACACCCACTTCTGCTGGGAAGCCCCATGGCATAGCTCTGGCTCTTCTGCACAGAGACGGAAGCTGAACCATGGGTCTCTTTGAGGGAGCCAGGACAACAGACTCTACCCATAAGTCAGCAAGGAAGACTGTACCATGCCACCTGCCCTTGGCTACACAGGGACAGGAACACGTTTGGTTCTTGCCCAGTGGGTAAGAGGCAATCATCTCTGGGAAATTTGCCTCTCTCTGGAATCTCCTTCTAAGAATTTTCCACTCCTAAAAAGGTCCTTTGGGGTTCAGAATCTAAGACCAAACCTTGACCCTCCTCTAGTCCATCCCCACACCTTCCCAGGACTTTTTCATGTCAGATGCACCCAAGTCCTTAGCCCAGCTGTTCCACTGCAAGAATCTGCTCTTGTATTTCTTTCCCTCCCTGAGAAGGGAGGGAGCCACTTTCAGGCCCTTCTGTGCATTGCCTGGCAGATAACCTGCTCTAAGCAGCTGCCTACCTTGACTCCCAAAGCATAGGACACACTAGCTATGAACTGTATGGAGTGGTGAGCAGAGGCGAGTATTCACAGTCCATCATCAGGCCAGCTTCTCCTCAGCCTTCTGCTCCTAAGGGACATGCTGGGGTGAGCATCCTGAGACTCGGCGGTCTTCTGCAGAGGCTCTCCTTCCTGAAGACAGAGCCAGCCTGGGACACTCACCATCTTGGGACAGTGAGGGCTGCACAAAGACCTGGTGCTTCACGATGCTGCTCTAGTGGTTATTGTATATAAGCTGATGTATCCACCAGTGACTTAAAGGGATCTCGGTCACGGGCACCATGAGTGATGGGCGCTTCAAACCTTCAGTAAGGGGGTAGGTAGGATGGAAAGAATGCTGAATCTTTTTTTTTTTTTTTTTG